CAGTGGGTTTTCTCCATCTGCTACTATCACAGAAGTTATAACGGTTCCTTTCTGATGTGGACCACCAGCCCAGTGATCCCTTCATTGAATCAAAGATTACAGTAATCTACCTTTCAAGCAGTACTAGCTTCAGCAAGTCCAGAATGTACCAGTCTCTCCCCCTTATATTGGCATAAGTATGTGGGATTAATCACCTCCACTAAGGGCATAAGAGTTGCAGGGGGTAAAACCAATATGACAGGAGAGCAAAGCCCTTCCAAGAACAATAATGCCAGTGTTGTGCACTGATTGCCTTTTCAGTGGCACACAAAAGTGAAGTAATTTCTTATGAGTGATTTTAGACCTTGTGTTGAGAGAAAGTATCTCATTCCCTGTTGCACTATTGCAACAGGTAACAATTATAATGGGATCACCTGGTTTTCACTTGAGTTCTCTGGTGCTGGTGGTATTCCTAGAAAGAATCTATGTTTCTGAAACCTCCTTCCACCATGACATTCCTATCTATTTGATCAAGCTTTTGATGGCTCCTTTAGTACTACTGTGGGGATAGAGTTATAACAGAATATTTTTCATTGCAGAGTGTTCTGCTATTCTTAGTAGGAGTAGAGAAACTTGTAGTATATCTGTCAAGTTTTGCACAGTTTTTTATTTGATACTTTCCTTCAATGAAAACAGTCCCTTTATTTCCAAGTCCTTCCCCCACCGTCTTCCCACCCCACCTGTAGGCAATTTTGTAGGGGTGAGGAAAGTAAAGCCGGGGCTGTTCAGAGTTTGAGGGAACCAGAGATTCTTGGGAATCTGGAAAAGCTAGTTGGGTGCAGAATATTGGAGGGAAGCAGGGGAAGATTGTTGGGAAGGAACCCTGACTTCAGGAAAGAAGGAGGGTGTTTGTGGGGAAGGGTAGCTGATCAGGAAAGGGTGAGACATGAAGCAGTTTTGTCCTTCCTTTCCATTTACCCACTGTATTCCAATCTCTTTTTTTTTGCCTGTGTTGTCTTGTCCCTCTGTTACTACCTCCTGGCTGTACTACCCAATTGTATTCTGTTTCCCTGCAGTTCTTCTCATCCTTTTCTGGCTCTTCACTCCTTGCTGCTGAGTCACCAAGACTACAAATGGACATCACATTTATCCTGGGATAAACCATTTCATCCTAGGATGAATTGCAATTGTTTGGACATCCATGTCCATTGTCCTAAGATAAATACTAAAAAGGTTCATGGGATAACTAGTATAACAGTTTATCCTGGGACATTGCAAAGTATGTCTGAAGGATTATCCTGCGATTGCATCATTGAATCAATGGCAGAAAAACTGCAGCACGTTCAGCTGCCCACTAAACCCTAATTAGAAGAGCAATATGTGTACATGTCAGTCCCAGGATATTTTTTGCACCATGACCAACGCAGGCACGACCTGTCCAGAGACTAATGCCACATCTGTTTCTAGCCTAGTGGAATTGAGTTGCTGTCACCCTGTAGGCTGGCTCAGTGCCAGCAGTGAAAGTAATGACAGCAGGGATGAGACTATCTTTCTCTCCCCAGCCTTAGCACTTTGTTACAGGTATGAGTACTAAAAGTAAAAGCCTGCTTTTGTCTCTGCAGCCCTGCTGTCACCCTTCAAAGCTCCTGACTGGCTGTATCATTGCCATGATGGAGCTCCCTAATATGTACTATGTCTGACTTAAGACACTTGACATCCCTGTTTTATGTGATCCACACACAAATCTAATTTTGATTTTAGTAAACTGTGTAACATGCTCAGATCCCACTGTGAATAGCCTAGATCTCTAATTATTTGGTAAGTACGGGAGCTACTTGGCCTTCCGTCTGAATTCTGTATTGCTAAAGTGAGCCACATGCCCTCAGCCTGAAATTATAGATGTGTTTTGACTTTCACTTTTCATATATTCACCTGTAGCAAGATTGATACCTGTGCTCATGCTTCAGTTTACTTGCAGGTTTCTCACAGGGAGGAATACAACCATCACACTTCAAGAGGGAGATCTCCAGAAAGAATACTGTTTTTCTACCATTCATTTTTGAGGTAGGCATTTGAGTAGGACCTTGGAAGGTGTATTGATCTTAGCCACAAAAGGATTGTGTCACCACACCTAATTGTAGGTGCCCGGTTCTGGGATTAAAATTTGTATGTCAGTTGAGTACTTAAGTACTGTTTACAGTGAGTGCAGCTCACTGTTCTGGTTCAGTGGTAGAGTCCTTGTCTGCCATGCAGGAGACCTGGGTTGCATTCCCAGATGTGCATATAACTGCAGCCACCAAGGTACTGAATGACCAGACTCAGTCTGGCCTTTGGATTCTGTCTCAATGGTCTAAAGGGTGGATAGGAGGTCTGAGCAGCTTTCATTCCTCCTTACTCCTGCCTAGGCATACATGGCAAAGGTTCTGGTGACCTCTCATCCGTATAACATGATCCAGAAGGATCAATGGTTGCCTACTGTTACTTACAATTCCAATTCATCAAATCAAGAGCAAGACCTTATAAAGGGGGATAAGGCAAAATGCCACGTTTATTGATTACATGAATTAGACATAGAGGTTTTGACACAACACTCACACAGACCCACACAAACATGAAACAACCATTCCATTTTCTCAGGAATTACAGTTACCAGCAGCAGTTGTTCAATAATAGCACTAGGTGGCCAGCCCAGGCCTTATTGAGAGAAGATGCAGATAGCAGGCAGGGTGGTTATTATGAGAGAGATCCTGGAGATAGCAGCTTGGAGTGGGGTGAACAGATGCATCTGTGCTCTGAAGAAACAGCAGTTGAGAGAGAGACTCACCCAACTTGGCATTTTCAAAGTCCTCTTTTATAGGGATTGGCATCCTTTGTTTCAGTGCTTTGGGTTTTTTCCATATCCAGCTTCTGTTTTTGCAGTTGTTTTTCATCCATCTTCTGCTTATCTCAGCCTGAGGTCAGTTTGGTTGTAAAAGTTGGTATCTCATCCTTGGAGTGTCCTTGCTGCCCATCTGTCAAGATGTGTGCCTTCCTCCTCCTCGTTAGTTTAGTGACTGGTAGCTTACATTTGGCGCCTTGTTGCTTACATAAACAGTTAAATCTTCTTCTCCCATCTCTATGCCATTCTCTCACCATTCACCCTTTCACATACACTCATTCAAAAAAGGGCATACAGAGTTCATTCACTTATGTCAAGCAAAAGAATATAAAATAGAGTTTTCAAGTTACTTACAGGACAAAACTAATATGGTTACATTTCACTATTATTACACTCTATGTTAACATCAGCTACATTAGTTTAGTTCCTGCTACACTACTACTACTTCAGTGAATGCACAGTTGGGGGAGGGGGAGGGCTGAAGAAGGTGCTATTAAACACCCCTCTGTCTGCCCTGAATATAGGGGACTCTGAGTCTTTTTCTTGAGGACAATTAATTTAGTGGTCCTTAAGACATGATAGTTGAGTGTTTGAGCTGTCCTTGTACTTATACCATGTGGGTATGTGTGGTGCTTCTCTCTCTATATTTATCCCTGTCTTCCATCATTTCTATATGTCATTAGGTGCTAGTTATATACTTGCTTGCTCATCTCCTGGTGTTCTTTTGGTCATGGGATTATACTAATGTCTGGCTGGCTGTTACTGCTGTTTAATTTTGCTGTCAGCTTTTCCACTAGTGTTGGTTTGTAAGTTTATTTACTGCAGGCAATAAAATCAATGTTTGGTGGAATATGAGGCATGATACCGGATTCCTGCCAGGCCTTCTGTTCATATAGTTCTTAAGGCCAAAAATACGATCCATGGGTATTTATTATCCCAGTGTACCATGTTTAATAGTTTCTTGGCAATCTTCACAAAAGCTTTTGCTTGGCTATTATATTGGCTGTGATTAAAAGAAGGTGTGTGCTTATGTTCAGAATTTGCTGATGTTACAAAATTTGCTGGGCACACAGAGGTCCACAGTCTCCCAAAACAGACTCTGGAATTCCATGTGGGCAAACTGAGCCTTGCAGCATTCAGTGAGGGACATTTGTGTTGGTAAGGAATCTTTCCTAATAATTCAAATACTGCAATTTACTCCATCCCATGACAAAGTCTTTTTTACCCATTGAACATGGGGAAAACAAAGTTGTCTTAGAATCAAGTGTGGGACTGCTTCAGTGAGGATCTATGAGGAGCGATGTTGTTTCCAGCTGATCCAGGCTTGGGGAGGGGGGGAGGAGGAGGGAGGAACTAGTCCTAACCTCCTGGGCTAGGGACAGACATTCAAAAAGCCTGAGCCTGAATTGATTCAATCGTTGCAGGTTAGTCTAACTTGGCTAGGCTGAATCAGTTTCTAACCATACAGACCTCCCAGAAATCCAGGCACATACCTGCAGTGGCTTAGGATAGAACGTGGGGGGTGCTAGAGCAGCCCTCTCTTTTCTTCCACAATGCTGAGCTGAGGGGGGGAGTGGGGCATGGCCAAACCCTGACAGGATGCTCTGATGAGGGAGGGGTTTCCTCCCACCCTTGATAACACAGCATTTATCAGCTCTGTTAGCAGCATTTATTACCCCATCAGAAAACAACAGTCACTCTCATTAGTTCAAGCTCTTCTTAAATAATTTGTTCCAAAGAGGGAATGGAGGAACATTACCAGCTGACCTGTTGATTAGCTCTAAAAAGTCCTAAGCAGACATAGTCCTGTCTCCCACAGCATAGACTGATGAGACTATCTTTCTCTCCCCAGCCTTAGCACTTTGTTACAGGTATGAGTACTAAAAGTAAAAGCCTGCTTTTGTCTCTGCAGCCCTGCTGTCACCCTTCAAAGCTCCTGACTGGCTGTATCATTGCCATGATGGAGCTCCCTAATATGTACTATGTCTGACTTAAGACACTTGACATCCCTGTTTTATGTGATCCACACACAAATCTAATTTTGATTTTAGTAAACTGTGTAACATGCTCAGATCCCACTGTGAATAGCCTAGATCTCTAATTATTTGGTAAGTACGGGAGCTACTTGGCCTTCCGTCTGAATTCTGTATTGCTAAAGTGAGCCACATGCCCTCAGCCTGAAATTATAGATGTGTTTTGACTTTCACTTTTCATATATTCACCTGTAGCAAGATTGATACCTGTGCTCATGCTTCAGTTTACTTGCAGGTTTCTCACAGGGAGGAATACAACCATCACACTTCAAGAGGGAGATCTCCAGAAAGAATACTGTTTTTCTACCATTCATTTTTGAGGTAGGCATTTGAGTAGGACCTTGGAAGGTGTATTGATCTTAGCCACAAAAGGATTGTGTCACCACACCTAATTGTAGGTGCCCGGTTCTGGGATTAAAATTTGTATGTCAGTTGAGTACTTAAGTACTGTTTACAGTGAGTGCAGCTCACTGTTCTGGTTCAGTGGTAGAGTCCTTGTCTGCCATGCAGGAGACCTGGGTTGCATTCCCAGATGTGCATATAACTGCAGCCACCAAGGTACTGAATGACCAGACTCAGTCTGGCCTTTGGATTCTGTCTCAATGGTCTAAAGGGTGGATAGGAGGTCTGAGCAGCTTTCATTCCTCCTTACTCCTGCCTAGGCATACATGGCAAAGGTTCTGGTGACCTCTCATCCGTATAACATGATCCAGAAGGATCAATGGTTGCCTACTGTTACTTACAATTCCAATTCATCAAATCAAGAGCAAGACCTTATAAAGGGGGATAAGGCAAAATGCCACGTTTATTGATTACATGAATTAGACATAGAGGTTTTGACACAACACTCACACAGACCCACACAAACATGAAACAACCATTCCATTTTCTCAGGAATTACAGTTACCAGCAGCAGTTGTTCAATAATAGCACTAGGTGGCCAGCCCAGGCCTTATTGAGAGAAGATGCAGATAGCAGGCAGGGTGGTTATTATGAGAGAGATCCTGGAGATAGCAGCTTGGAGTGGGGTGAACAGATGCATCTGTGCTCTGAAGAAACAGCAGTTGAGAGAGAGACTCACCCAACTTGGCATTTTCAAAGTCCTCTTTTATAGGGATTGGCATCCTTTGTTTCAGTGCTTTGGGTTTTTTCCATATCCAGCTTCTGTTTTTGCAGTTGTTTTTCATCCATCTTCTGCTTATCTCAGCCTGAGGTCAGTTTGGTTGTAAAAGTTGGTATCTCATCCTTGGAGTGTCCTTGCTGCCCATCTGTCAAGATGTGTGCCTTCCTCCTCCTCGTTAGTTTAGTGACTGGTAGCTTACATTTGGCGCCTTGTTGCTTACATAAACAGTTAAATCTTCTTCTCCCATCTCTATGCCATTCTCTCACCATTCACCCTTTCACATACACTCATTCAAAAAAGGGCATACAGAGTTCATTCACTTATGTCAAGCAAAAGAATATAAAATAGAGTTTTCAAGTTACTTACAGGACAAAACTAATATGGTTACATTTCACTATTATTACACTCTATGTTAACATCAGCTACATTAGTTTAGTTCCTGCTACACTACTACTACTTCAGTGAATGCACAGTTGGGGGAGGGGGAGGGCTGAAGAAGGTGCTATTAAACACCCCTCTGTCTGCCCTGAATATAGGGGACTCTGAGTCTTTTTCTTGAGGACAATTAATTTAGTGGTCCTTAAGACATGATAGTTGAGTGTTTGAGCTGTCCTTGTACTTATACCATGTGGGTATGTGTGGTGCTTCTCTCTCTATATTTATCCCTGTCTTCCATCATTTCTATATGTCATTAGGTGCTAGTTATATACTTGCTTGCTCATCTCCTGGTGTTCTTTTGGTCATGGGATTATACTAATGTCTGGCTGGCTGTTACTGCTGTTTAATTTTGCTGTCAGCTTTTCCACTAGTGTTGGTTTGTAAGTTTATTTACTGCAGGCAATAAAATCAATGTTTGGTGGAATATGAGGCATGATACCGGATTCCTGCCAGGCCTTCTGTTCATATAGTTCTTAAGGCCAAAAATACGATCCATGGGCAATTATTATCCCAGTGTACCATGTTTAATAGTTTCTTGGCAATCTTCACAAAAGCTTTTGCTTGGCTATTATATTGGCTGTGATTAAAAGAAGGTGTGTGCTTATGTTCAGAATTTGCTGATGTTACAAAATTTGCTGGGCACACAGAGGTCCACAGTCTCCCAAAACAGACTCTGGAATTCCATGTGGGCAAACTGAGCCTTGCAGCATTCAGTGAGGGACATTTGTGTTGGTAAGGAATCTTTCCTAATAATTCAAATACTGCAATTTACTCCATCCCATGACAAAGTCTTTTTTACCCATTGAACATGGGGAAAACAAAGTTGTCTTAGAATCAAGTGTGGGACTGCTTCAGTGAGGATCTATGAGGAGCGATGTTGTTTCCAGCTGATCCAGGCTTGGGGAGGGGGGGAGGAGGAGGGAGGAACTAGTCCTAACCTCCTGGGCTAGGGACAGACATTCAAAAAGCCTGAGCCTGAATTGATTCAATCGTTGCAGGTTAGTCTAACTTGGCTAGGCTGAATCAGTTTGTAACCTTACAGACCTCCCAGAAATCCAGGCACATACCTGCAGTGGCTTAGGATAGAACGTGGGGGGTGCTAGAGCAGCCCTCTCTTTTCTTCCACAATGCTGAGCTGAGGGGGGGAGTGGGGCATGGCCAAACCCTGACAGGATGCTCTGATGAGGGAGGGGTTTCCTCCCACCCTTGATAACACAGCATTTATCAGCTCTGTTAGCAGCATTTATTACCCCATCAGAAAACAACAGTCACTCTCATTAGTTCAAGCTCTTCTTAAATAATTTGTTCCAAAGAGGGAATGGAGGAACATTACCAGCTGACCTGTTGATTAGCTCTAAAAAGTCCTAAGCAGACATAGTCCTGTCTCCCACAGCATAGACTGTAGCCAGCATGTGGTATGCTGGCTAGTGCTGAGAGGTTTCTGTGTAAGGCAGAGAGGAGGGGAGATCCCTGCTTAGCAGGAAGTGGTGGGTGGGGAACAGAGGGAAGCCAGGCAGATGCCTGCAGTCCCTGCCGGAGCTGCAGCCAGGGAGCAGAGGGGAGGGGCCAGCTCTCCTGTGCAGCCGAGAGCACCGCCCAGCCCAGATACCATGCTGAGATGCTGGGGGAATCTGGTTTAACTTTAACTTCAAATATGAAACTATGAAACCAGGAAAGGGTCTGATACAGACATTGCATAAACCAGTTTGACCCAAATCAGTTAAGTCTGATACTACATTCAACTAGGTTTATCTCAAACTGGTTTCAGCCATTTTCAAACTGGTTTATGTGCACTGAACATCTGTTCTGCTACAGGTTTAAACCAGTTTCTGATCTCTTAAACTGGCTTATGTGTAATGTCTGTCCCTAGCCTTGCTGCCCGGTACTGCAGGGAGCAGCTGAGTGGGTAGCCTGGCTTGGCTAGGCACAACAATGCTTGCTCTGCACCTCCCCGCCCAACCCAGTGAAACTTTTTTCATGTACTGAAGACTTTGTGATCTTGAATTAACTGGTTGCTATCTTCTGGAGTATTATTGCTCTAGACAAGAAGTCTGCAATGAATTTGAGATGCTTGTTTGTACTGTATACTTGAGCAATATTTAAAAAAAATTCTTGTTAACCTCTTTTTGAAGATATTTTGGACCTGCTGATAAAGGATTTTTTTAAAAAAAGAGTAACATAAAATCATCATTCTTCAAGATGATTACATCCCAAGTGAAGCTAGTCAAGTTTGGCAAAATAATGATTACTTATTTGCTGAGCATATTTTTGCTCCAGAGATGGTGTTCTGTCAGCTAATTTTACAGGGTGAACTTACTGTTATGGTGCTTGCAGTTTCCATTCACTAGATTACAAATGCCTTTTATAGCAACATGTTAGAACTAGATCACTAACCAATAACTGAAAGCATAGAGCCTTCTTATGGCAAATATCATAGGGTTCACTGACTCATGAAGAGGGGTGACAGGAATTTGAACAGAAAGCAGATACATTTGCAAAAGTGGCATATGTCAAAGTTTGTGGACCGGGCATAGCCAAAATTGGTTAACTTTTCTCCGGGTCTAATTTAAGCCATCTGCTTTAGATGTTCAATATACCACACAGATGACAAGACATGGCAATATTTTATTTTTATTTAATTTAAGATTCTCTTGATGTGTTCTTTTGAGTAGTGATATACCAGTTTATTATTCTGATCAGTTGGGATCCAGGTTTTCTTTTTCCTGAGGAAAAATGTGCATTTTTTCTCCTTTAAAGGAGAAAACCACAAGAAACCATGGGTTTCCCCTTGCAGGCTGGCAGAGTTCTAGCCTGCAAGGGGCTGCTTGGGGCTGGGAGGAGCAGGAGGAGAGAGATCAGAGGCAGGGAGCCATGTGCATGTGCATGCACACACATACACATGGCCTACAATGTAGCCAGGCAGCATGGTGGAGAGCATCTCCTGCAGCTCCCTGCAAGTAAGTGTATGAGGGGGCATAGGCCCCCTAGATTTCTGCATCCATAGAAGGGCATGGGGTTGTAGCCTGGTCAGATGGGCACCAGGCAGGCTTGTCTCAGTGGCCCAGTGGGTGGGACCCAGTTCGAGAGAGTAGAGTGGGGCAGGGAGGCTTAGTGCTGCCACTGCTGCCACCAGGAGTGCCATGTCACCATGGCCACCAATGTGAGGTGTCCCCTGCCTACCTGGGAGCAGCAGGGGGGCACAACTCCACGCTGCTGCCATGGCACCTCACTTTGGTGGCCATGGCAGTGGAGCTGGTGTGGGGCTTCTGGAGGTGGCGGCATGGAGTTGTGTCCCCCTTGCTGTTGCCAGGTAGGCAGGGGGAACCTCACCTCAGTGGCCATGTTGCCGTAGTGCTCCCTCCCACACCAGGTCCTACCCATTGGGTTGTGGATGCAGCTCTTGCCCGATGCCAGGCTTGCCAGGCCACAGCCCCATGCCCTGCTGTAGGCACTTAAATTGGGGGGGGGATGTGCCCCCCCCATACCTCCCTCAACATGTTGCCTATGGTGTCATCTATGTCCACATCCCCTTGCCCTGCCCACACCTCTTCTGCCCCCACATGCTGGGGCTTGAGGGTAGGGGGCAGAAGGTTAAAAGTGAGGAGCGCCACCAGGGTTGGGGGGGCATGGAGGATTGTTGTGTGGGGAGTAAGAGGTACTGGTAGGGCCAGGGGGCAGTGGGTCAGGAGTGAGGGGCACCACTAAGGCTCAGGGAGTGAGGGGGACAGCTGAAGCTGCCCCCATGTCCTGGTGAATGAAG